TATATATATATATTGAATGTGCAAATTCAATATGTATTTAAATAAAAATTTTTAATAACTTTTTAATAAATTTTTAATAAATTTTTAATAACTTTTTAATTTTTAATAAAAACTTTTTAATAATTTTTAGTAAAGAAAGAAACATAAAATAATATGAAAAAGTATAATTTTTAAAAAATTATTATATAAAATTAATAATTTATTGTTGATTTTTCTGAAAAATCAATTTCTATTAAAAAAAATTAAATAAAATAAATATAAAAAAAATTTATTAATAGTATATGAAAATATATATGTATTTAATTGCGTAATTACATTTAAAACTTAAATCTAATGAAGTTTTATTTATATGTAACCGTACAAGTAACCGTATAAAGAGATATGTATGCGTTTCTGATAATTGTTTATAATTACGTAATCTAGAAAATTAATGATATAATCATATCTATATTACTATATAATTATCTGCGTTTTTTTGGGCTAATAGCCTAAAGATATTTTGTACTTATTGAATATAGAAATGAATGAGTTAAATATTGTAATAAATATAGTACAAATTCAGAGAGTTACAGCTATTATGTATCAGCTATGTATGTACACACATTTTTTTATGTTTGAATTTTATTGATATTATCTTTAGATTGAAAATTGCCTAGTCAGCCACGTCATCTACGATTAAATTCATCGCAACCAAGTGATTGTCGACTACAATCTATGTCATTAGTTTTCGTAATAGTTAGTCATCTGCAACGTGTTTGCTAACATTCTTTACATTTTATTCCATACTATGTTATCACAAAACTTATTAGTTCGAACAGGAAATATACTTAACTTAAATGAAGCAAAAACAAAAGCAAGTCAAAATCCCACAGATGAGGTCAGTTTTCAAATTTTCAATGACAAAATTTGTAAATAAAATTTCATTTATGCCAATATCGAAATCATAATTCTGGAGGTTATGTTTCTTATAAAATTGAAAACCTTAAAATATTCATAAGAAACTATGATTTATTTTTATTTTTCAGCTAATTGAAACACTAAAAATTGTACTTCGAGACAATGAAGGGACTGGTGAAAATCCAATTATTGTATGATCACTATTTATTAATTTTTCAAAATTTCTAAAAAAGAATATATTTTAAAACTTATTTATTTTCAGATTGAAGGTATAGAAGATAATGCCTTGAAAGATATCAATAGAGAAGATGTTAAGATAACTGTAAAAGTATTTATTTCATCACCTGATGTAAACTTATTAAAAGAAGCTATAGATCAAGGTATAATATATTATTAATTATATGTATTTATATAATTATATTATATTTTTTTTTTCAGTTTGTAATTCCTTAAATATAAATGCAATTGAATCTTTAGTAATTGCTTATTCAGGAAAGGAAAATTCAGAAGATATATTATCATCACTAAAACATTTATGGACTGGAGTAGAAGAATATGTGAAAATTGGCAAACTATCAAGTGTTGGTCTTAGTGATGTCAACACAAATGAATTTATTGATTTATTTCAATGGGCAAATGTAAAATTATATTTGTTTTTTATTGTATTTTATTATATCTATTTTATATTATTTTTATTAAAACAGGTAAAACCAAATATTGTACAAATTAGTTTAGCTACATGTTGTATTGTACCACCAGCATTGCAAACATTCACTAAAGAAAATGATGTACAATTATTAACACATAATGATCCTGGACGTAAGTATATTTGTATATAATAATAAAGTAAGTAATGCATAATTCTATAATTTATTCATTACAGAAATTTTACCTCAAGAAGATTTAAATGGAATATTCAATGCTAATACAAATGTATATTGGGTTACAAGGTATCAAATTCATCTAAAATGTCGTGGTATTTTATCTTCAAAAGGTTATTTAATATATGTTAATAAACAAACAACATAATATTATATTTTTAATAATATGAAAAAAATAATTTAAACGATGATAAAATTTACAATTTACAATGATATTATATTAAATCTTAGTTTATTATATATACACATTTGTGTTCCACTCATTACTGTACATGTAAAGAGATCTTATATTTACAATATATATCAAGATTGTTAATCTAATTCACAAATTTTTGTAAGCATTAATAAACCAATGCTTATATATCATATCAGATTTATCTATTCATATTTGTAGAAATAAATATATAGTTTAGCATAATTAATGTATTTTATAATATTCCTCTATTTAATTTATTTTCATAAATTTTTAATAATTTTCTAACATTTTTAATTGTTTAAAATTTTATTATAATATATCATATAAATATATATATATAGAATTTTAGATGTAAATTTTCCAGTAGCTAAAAGTAAATGCAAAATTACAAAATGGCATGAAAATTACAAATAGCATTAGACATGCGTTTTAAATCCGAGTAAAATGTTTCTTGAATAAAAATATTAACTTTCGTATGTTTCAAAAAAAAAAAAAAAATAATGTTAATATATGATATTTCATTTAAAAAATAAAAAATAAATTTTCAAATATTCTTCATTTGTTAATCATTAACATGCATGAAATACGTAAATTATAACAAATATTAAATATATTTAATTTTTATATTTATTTTAATCATATATATAAAAATCTTAAATTATTTATCAAATTATATAAAATTCAAAATCAAATATTTTTTAAAATTGAAATAAAAACTTTCAATAATATTTTATTTATATATTTTTATATATTATTATTTATATATTATTTTATATAATAAATGAATATTTCAATTGAAAAATATTTGTATTGCAGAAATACTATTATTAAAATTAATTAACAAAAAATTTAAAAAAAGTATAATAAATATAATCAATAAAAATACAAAAATAAATAGATAAGAATTTTCTTTATTTAAAATTTTTTTTTAATCACGTTCAGAACCATTGCTAGCAGTAGCCGATCGGGAGTCCACTAGGCAGTGAGGACACAAGAAATCCTTCGTTTTATATGTGTGTCCCACCTTCATCGTCGTAGCCGCCACCGCCACTGCCGCCGCCGCCGCCGCCGCCGCGGTCGTCGTCGTCGCAGGCCAGCTCGATATATGCGGGCCGATTTTTCGTTTTGCCACCAGCTTGCTGCTGCTTTGGATCTTTCCCTTTCCTGCGCGTTCTGTTACTCTGCTCCCGCTCTGTGGACCCTTTTGCGTTGAGCCGCACCGCGTGGCACACACGGGGACAACGAAACGATGGGATGGGACGGGATGGGACTTCGGAGGACCGAGGATAGCGTAAACGTTTCTCTCTGCTCCCTCAGTTCTTTCTCTCGCTCTCTTTTCCTTTTCCTCCTTTCTCCTTTTTCACAGCACACACACCTTTCTGCGTTCATCATTCTGCCTTCTTTATTCCGCACACAGCCTATTGCCTCTACTCGAACACATTCGACACTCATTCTTTTTCTCTCTCTCTTGCTATTCTTCCTTCTACGCTTCTCTTTTCTCTGTTCGTCGCTTTCGGGATTGGTCTCTTTTCAATGCTTTCCCGTTCCTTCTGGTCACTGTAAAGCGGGCGGAGTATGCGAACGCCGCGATACTATGTTATGCCTGCGGACCGCGGGTCTGACATACTTTGTATGTTAATGCCACATAATGTCGTTTTTGTTCCTCTTTTCAACATTTATTTGTTCGGGTCTTCGGAGCTTTAGCAAGGGCGTGCACGAACCATAGTTCGTACCGCGCCTCAATCGTTTAGTTATTTCGTGATCAGATTTAATCTATTCGCTCTTTTTCTTCCCGTATATAAGATCCTTACATCATCGATGTGTGCTTATCGAAATTAATCCGGAAATTATTACATTTCAAACTGACGAATTGATATTTCTTAGCAGTATTGATTACAAGAATATAATAATACATTCACGTGTTCAGATTTAAATATAGTAATAGTCTTCTTGATGGTAAATTAAAAATTAAGCTCCCCTTATCAGTTATTTTTCTGTTATCAGTCTTCAATTGTTATCTATTTCAAGTTTTTCTTTTGGAATTTCCAACGTACAGATCTCTTGAGATATGATTCTCTTTTTTCTCGCCAAATAAAAACACATCAAATCAACTAAATTATGTCTATTTCGTGATCCAAAGGATCAACATATTATAAGATCTCAAGATCGTATAAAGGCTAACAACATTTCATCATTGCATAATTATATAATTTATATAAAATACCACTGATTTCAATTTTCTTCAATTTAACTTTCTGATAAAGAATATTATTGATGCTAATTTTGCCAACTTCAATAAATTGATTAATTTACTTTTCTACGAGTGTTATATATCTTTTTTTTATATAGAATTATTATTCTTATTTTATTTAAATTATATATATTTGAATAACAGAAAGAAACAGACAAATTCTAAAGAAATCCAAATCAATTTCAATAAGTTAATTTTATATTAAAAAATATACATCACAAAAGAATAAATATATAAATTTTATATATCACTATATCTATCAAATGTTCAAACGAAATTAATAAAAATAATATTATGCAAATTTTCTGGTAGTAAAAAATATAATCTTTTCTCTATTGTAAGCAATGCTTCTATATTGATAAAAAAGATCATAAATTTCTCGTTTGACAAATTAGCCGATGATGCAGGCTCAGCAGCGATTACCGACTAGCATACATGCTGCATGTAATATAGACTTGTTGGAACGCGATCTCGCGTTGACAGGTGATGCAGTCGCGGTATTGCCTCTCGCATCGAGCGCATCTCTCCGTGTTCGTGAGCAAAGTGCCTCGCCGTTGATGTTTCGCTAGCACACGGTTGGCCACAGTTAAGAGAAAGAGGGAAAGAAAAAGAAACGACAAAAGGAGGGAGCGAAAGGGTAAAGAAGCGAAGTACCGGCGGAGCAACACAGAAGCGGCAGAGGGAACGGCAGTAGTGAGTAAACGCAAAAGCGCCCTCGCTCGCTCCCGCGCGATGCAAAGACGGGGTATAAATAAGCGGCTGTCGTTTGCGGAAGCAGAAAACGGGCAAAAGGACAGAAATAAAGAAGAAGTCGCAAAAGAAAGGGAGGCAGTGACAGAGAGAGGAATAAATAAGCTGGGCCGAGGAGAGCGAGAGGACAGGCAAAAGTAGGAGCTGGAGCAGTAGCAACGGCCAGAAGCAGCCAGCAACGGTTCCACTGTTGATTCCTTCTTGCCGCTTGGACGACCAACTACGTCCCGATCTACTACTTTTGCGGTGTACGACCGTCCTCGCATTGAAAACTTTTCAGCGTGTCCTGCCTCCTCTACGAACGCGGCAGGTGTACTTCTGTCTCGTTATCCGGAAGGTCTCTTCCTCCTCGACAGCGTTCGAGTAGAAGTCGTAGATCACTTCGAGGATGTTTCGAATGGATTTTAAAGGACAAGTGATTTTGTCGTGGGAGGAACGGGACGGGAGAGATCCATTTAACGATCTTTGTAACGTTAATGAATGTATTAGGGCGGTAAATGAAAGAGTGTCGGAGAAAGAGGAGTTGCACACTGAATGGTGATTCTGCGCATGCTTGCGAATATATATACGCATATATATTAAGTTAGGTTAAGAAAAATAAAAGATGATAATTATGCATGAATTTTGTAAGTATTTTCTACAATTTCTATCTAATAAAGAAAAAAAAGTTTTTTCCGGTATATTTCTAGAAATCCAGTCTCAGTGCTCGAATTTGCTGGTATCGTAGCAGGTTATCCATGGCCGGATCTAGATACTATTCATGCTAAGCCGCATATCTGCATACGCATCGAGACACTTTTCGAAAGCACGTTACGCAGCCGTGCCGTGGCACCACGTGCATACGAGAGGTAACCTGTATCCCCATGTGTATAGCGGATAGAGTGGCGCTTATATGTATACATACACTTATATATACACATATACACACATGCATATTTCCTGTGTGGTGGCTGTGAAACAGAACACAACAGAACAGAGAACAGAACGGAACGGAACAGAGCAGAGCGGAACCGAATGAAATGGAACAGAAGCGAACGCAGTAGAGAAGCGCAGGCTGACTGCACGGCCGCAGCATGTTTATTGGCGCATCTTGGAGTCTTAAATCTTTATGTTGTCTCCTCGACGGGGTCTGCTATCTCCCTGTCCCATTGGCGGGATGGGAGGAGAAGGGAGAATCAGCACAACCACGGAAGGGATGAGAGGAACGAAGAGAACAAAGAGGGAATGAGTCGCTGTGAGCATAGGGAAGCGAGATGCTGGAATGGATGAGTAACAAAAAGAAGTGAAAAGAGACTAGAGAAAGAACGAGAGGGAAGGAAATCGGGAGAGATATATCTCTCGACTTGCGGTCGCGAAATCGAGTCAAGAGTCGGACAACCAACGACCAAGACGCATCCACTGCATTACGCACACAGAAGCCGCGATCTTAACGTGCCTCTAGAAATGGTCGTTTGCAGTTGTACAGGGAAAACCCACGTGGTAAAGGTACCGGGCAAGAATTATTAATGGCCGTAGGTGTTACGAGCGTGAAGATTGCCGCTTTTAGCCAGATGTGATAGAAATTGCATCATATAAAATTGACTCAATGTGTTCTGTTGGTCTCTATATTTTTACACATTATGCATTATAAATATATATAGATATTTCAACGTTAGTTCCTACAATCTAATTATTAAAATGTGATAAATTATTGATTAAATTAAAAAAGGTAATTTTGTGAAAGAAATACAAAAATTAAAATTATTAAAATAAATTAATTAAATTAATCATAGATATAAAAACTATTGCAGGAGTTATAAATTGAAAGAAATTATCAATAATTGATGAAAGAAAATGGTTAACATTTTTTATTTATTTCCTTAATTAAAAAAGGAAGTAGAATATATTATTAATAATTATTCCTAGACATGATCATGCAATTATATGAAATATAATCAAGTATAAAATCAATACATTACGTCGATCTTATGAATAATAAAAATTTACCGTTACATAATCAAGTGCTGATATTACAAAAAAGAATCTTTTAAATTTATATTGATAATAATTATTCATTTTATGATGATTATTGAATTTATGATGATCTAATAACAAAATTAAAGAGAAGTTTGAAAAAAAGGTATGTAAATAATAACTTGTTGCAATTGAAAATATATTATTAAC